TGAATTGACCCAAAGAATGGGAAAAGGATGAGCAAACCAGCCCTAAACCCAGCAGAAGAAAAGAAATAACAAAGATCAGAGAAGAACTAAATGAAATTTATATCAAAAAAACTATATGGAAGATTAATAAAAAGTTGGTTCTTTGAAAAAATAAACAAAACTGACATGCCTCTGGCTAGATTAATGAGAAGCAAAAAAGAAAGGCCTCTAATAAGTTCAATCAGGAATGAAAAAGGAGAAATTACAACTGATATCACGGAAATACAAAATATCATCTATGAATACTTTAAAAACCTCTATGCACACAAGCTTGAAAACATGGAGGAAATGGAAAAATTCTTAGAAACACACAACCTCCCTAAGCTCAATGAGGAAGAAACAGAATTTCTTAACAGACTAATATTAAGTACTGAAATGGAAGCAGCAATAAAAAACCTTCCTAAAAAAAAAAAGTCCTGGACCAGACTGTTTCACAAGCAAATTTTACCAAATCTACAAAGAAGAACTGGTGCCTATCTTGCACAAATTATTCCACAAATTTGAGAAGGAAGGAATCTTCCCCAACATGTTTTATGAAGCCAACATCACCCTGATACCAAAACCAGGGAAGGATGCAACAAAAAAAGAAAACTACAGACCAATATCCCTTATGAATATAGATGCAAAAATTCTCGACAAAATCATAGAAAACCAAATTCAGGTGCTTATCAAAAAAATCATCCATCACGACCAAGTGGGTTTCATACCAGAGATGCAGGGATAGTTCAACATATGCAAATCTGTAAATGTAACTCACCATATAAATAGAAGTGAAACAAAGAACAAATGATCCTCTCAACAGACACAGGAAAAGCATGTGACAAAATTCAGCACCCTTTTATGATAAGAACACTTAACAAAATAGGCTTAGATGGGACTTACCTAAAAATGATAAAAGGCATTTATGACAAGCCCACAGCCAACATCACACTGAACTGGGAAAAACTGAAAGCATTCCTGCTTAGAACTGGAACCAGACAAGGTTGCCCTCTATCACCGCTTCTATTCAACATAGTGCTGGAGGTTCTAGCCAGAACAATCAGACAAGAGAAGAAAATGAAGGGTATTCAAATGGGGGCAGCAGAGGTCAAAGTATGGCTCTTTGCTGATGGTATAATCTTATATCTACAAAACCCAAAAGATTCTGCCATGAAACTACTGGAATTGATAAACAAATTCAGCAAAGTCTCAGGTTACAAAACCAACGTACAAAAATCAGTAGCATTTCTATACACCAACAACAGTCAAACTGAAAACCAAATCAAAGACTCAATACCCTTCACAATAGAAACAAAGAAAATAAAATACCTAGGAATATATTTAACTAAGGAGGTGAAAGACATCTACAGAAAGAACTATGAAACACTGAGGAAGAAAATAGCAGAGGATGTAAACAGGTGGAAAACCATACCATGCTCATGGGGTGGCAGAATCAACATTGTTAAAATGTCTATACTACTCAAAGTGATCTACAGATTCAAAGCAATCCTTATTAAAATACCAACATGATTTTTCACAGATACAGAAAAAACAATTCTATGCTTTGTATGGAACCAGAGAAGACCCTGTATAGCAAAAGCAATCTTAAGCAAAAAGAATATATTGGGAGGCATCAATTTACCAGACTTCAAGCTATACTACAAGGCTAGAGTAACCAAAACAGCGTGGTACTGGCACAAGAACAGAGACATAGATCAATGGAACAGAACTGAGAATCCAGATATAAAACCATCCTCATATAGCCATATAATCTTTGACAAAGCAGACAAAAACATACACTGGGGAAAAGAATCCTTATTCAATAAATGGTGCTGGGAAAATTGGATAGCCACTGAAGAAGACTGAAACAGTATCTGCACCTCTCACAAAAATCAACTCACTATGGATAAGAGACTTAGATTTAAGGCATGAAACTATAAGAATTCCAGAAGAAAATGTTGGAAAAAAACTTAAAGACATTGGCCGAGGGAAAGAATTTATGAAGAAGTCCCCAAAGGCAATCACTGCAACAACAAAAAATAAATAAATGGGACCTGATTAAATTAAAAAGCTTCTGCACAGCCAAGGAAACTATCATGAGAGCAAACAGACAACCTATAGAATGGGAGAAAATATTTGCATGCTACACATCCGATAAAGGGCTGATAACTAGAATCTATACAGAACTCAGGAAAATCAGCAAGAAATAATCAAACAACTCCATTAAAAAATGGGCAAAGGACATGAATAGAAACTTTTCAAAAGAAGATAGACGAATGGCCAACGAACGTATGAAAAAATGCTCAACATCTCTAATCATTAGGGAAATGCAAATTAAAACCACAATGAGATATCACTTAACTCCAGTGAGAATGGCCTTTATCAAAAAGTCCCAAAACAATAAATGTTGGTGAGGATGCAGAGAGATAGGCACACTCATACACTGCTGGTGAGACTGCAAACTAGTACAACCTCTGTGGAAAGTAATGTGGAAATACCTCAAAGAGCTACAAGTAGAACTACCATTTGATCCAGAAATCCCATTACTGGGCATCTACCCAAAGGAAAAAAAGACATTCTGTAAAAAACACATCTGTACTCGAATGTTTATAGCAGCACAATTCACAACTGCAAAGATGTGGAAACAACCCAAGTGCCCATCAATACTCAAGTGGATTAATAAAATGTGGTATATGTATACCATGGAGTTCTACTCAGCCACAAAAAACAATGGTGAACTAATACCTCTTGTATTATTCTGGATGGAGCTGGAGCCCATACTACTAAGTGAAGTATTGTAAGAATGGAAAGACAAGCACCACACATGTACTCACCATCAAATTGGTATTAACTGATCAACACTTAAGTGCAAATATGGAAGTAATGTTCACCGGGTGTTGGGAAGGTGCGGGGGGAGGAGGGGAGGGGTATATTCACACCCAATGGGTGCAGTGCACACCATGTGGGGGATGGACAGGCTTAAAGCTCCCACTCGGGTTGGGCAAAGACAATATATGTAACCTAAACATTTGTACCCCTGTAATATGCTGAAATAAAAAAATAAATTATTAAAAAATGAAAATAAAAAATAGGTTTTTCAGAAAAGAAAAACTTAATAAATAAGAATACAGTTCAGTTAAATGTCATTCAGATCTGGGATAATGTCCCTTACTATTATACTGAAAGTTGCTACAATTTGGTCTTTAATAATAATGATATTCTTTCTTTTTATGTTAACACAGTGCTTTTTAAGTGGTATAAGATTCATATTAAGATATTCAAATAGACCTTGACCTTGAGTTTGGTTTTAATCTTCAGAATTTCAGAACATCCTCCATTGTTATTAACTTTAACTTTCTGCTTTTTAGTAGTTAAAGCATATAATAAAAATAAAACAGTGAAGGCTGGGCATGGTGGCTCACACCTATAATCCTACCACTTTGGGAGGCCGAGGTGGGAGGATCCCTTGAGGCCAGGAGTTTGAGAATAGACTGGTTAATAGTGAGACCTCATCTCCACTCCCCCCCAAAAAAATTAGTTGGGCATAGTGGCACACACCTGTAGTCCCAGCTACTCAGGAGACTGAGGCAGGAGGATTGCTTGAGCCCAGAAGTTTGAGGTTGCAGTGAGCTATGATGATGCTACTGCATTCCAGGCTGGGCCACAGAGTGAGACCCTTTCTTAAATAAATAAATAAATTAGTAAATAGACAGTAAAACAGTGAAAATATTAAAAAATTTGGACACTAAAATAGTTTGAAAACATAATTGATTTTAAATATGATTCTTGAACGGGTCCCTAAGGCCTCTTTTGCTGACTCATGCCCTTGAGCCCACAGTATCCTCTCCTCCAGAGTCACTCATCCTACTTTCTAATCTCCCCCCACTAGGGCCAGGCCACCTTTGGTTTCAGGGGAAGAGATTGTGGCCCATCAGATCCTTGAGTCTTTGCAGAGGCCAGTCCTTCCTTCCCAAGATGGTTAAGACTTTCTGCACTGAGCGCTTCCCTAAGGCCTTCAGCACCAGGGAAGAATTTCATTCTTAATTTGCCAGGGAGCACATAAACTCATTGAAGCAAGTCTCATCTTCTTGCCTTCCCTTCTGTCTCCCCCCTCTCTCTCTCTCTCTCTCTCTCACTCAAACACATTTTAAGAGTTGGACAAAGCACAGGGTGTTGGTACAATAGCCAAATGCTTTGTGGAGCTCTTGCACCAGGGAAGTGGAGCACACTGAGTTAAGAAACCTAAAAAACTGAAATAGCAACTGCTCGGCCTAGTTAGAAAAGGTAGACGTGCCTTAACGTGGTTCACGGAAGCACCTCAATTCAGAGCAGAACGACAGGCCGAGGGGTGACACCACACAACGTAACAGAGTCACAGTACCATGCAAAGTCCCATTAAAACGACTGGCGAAAAGGAGGCTTAACTGATGAACACATTTCACATAATGCATCTTGGCTGACACCCCGAGAGAGTTCACTCCAGAGCACATTAGCAACACGGCCATGAAAGCGGGGGCTGGGACAGAAGTTCTGATGGATTCCACACAATAAATACCAAGATCTGCACTCATTGGTCTCCATTTCAGCCATGGAAACATGTCAACCACAACTATTAACCCGTGTGCACGTTAACTCCTCTGCACTCAGACTCTAACATTTATTTCCTTTTCCTCCAAGACAAAGTAATTTGGCGACGCTGATGGGTTCGGTTAAACGTGTGCGGTGATGTCTATTTTTTCTTTGTGAGATGTTATTAATGGCCTCCTCTAGGAAGCCTTCCAGCTAAGACCACATATTTTCATCAGAGTTCTGGCTTCATAGCCAGAAATTCAGTATCTTGAGCAAGCAGAAGTCATTCAGCAACAATGACAGAACACGGCGCAACACGGTACCGTGGCATTAACTGTGCGTCGCCATTCGCCACTCACAGCGTTGCCGCCCCGGACCCTGGTGGGCCCAAGCTACAGAAGACAGCTCCTTACCGTGACTGGCAGGGGTGTGAGTTGCACCTTCTGACCTGGGGCTCTGGGCGGCTTGCCTGAGGGCAGTCACTGTCGTTCACCAGAGTGGTTGTCTTGTTAACAATCCGGGTGCACGAAACGATGGTTCTGCGTTCCCCTGGAAACCAAACCACAGGGAGCTGAGAGGCGGTGGCCACACACACCTGGAAAGGCCACGCGCATCCATGCTCACGAAGGAGTGTGCAGGTGCAGCTACTGATCAGTTTGTCATTTAAAGTGACTGCTGTAAATGTCATATTAATTGCAGAGAGGGAAACTGTAATCTTAGGGATGAGGGTATGCGAGATACAGCAGGGGCCGTGTGGGGCAGGAGAAAAGATTCTGGAACAAGAGCAGAAAGCAGCAACACCTCAGATCAGCTATGTTCTTGGACAGCTTGGGGTTCACTGAGGCCATATCTCTGATTTGGGTCTTTAATTTCCACCAAAGATTGCCAACCTTTTCACCTGCTCATTTGATGTTTACGGTCTATGGAGATCTGTATCAATTAGACACTGGTACCTCAGCCCTCGCCAGAGAGCACGCTACCTATGACAGAATTCCTGCTTGCTGGGGAGCAGTGGGGACAGGGAGTCTGGCCTGGAGGACACACAGACCTACATCTTCCAGGAGGTACTCCAGAGCCAATCTGAACTTGCCCAGCCAGCCAATTGGTACTTATGCCTAAGCATCATCTGCCCTTGGGAAGCTTTGCTCACCTCTTATCCCAGCTGGAAGCAGCCCTTTTGTGGGTGTTGCTAAAGCACTTTAAATGCTGCATGGCCAAGCCTTTGTCAGGGAGGCTGAATGGTTGGGAGTTAGGAGGGTGGTCTCTGGAGCCAGGCTGCCTGGGCTTAAGTCTTGGGTCTATTACTCTTAGTATCCCAGTGACCACAGTATCAATAGTTGGCCACCATGCTTCTGTGCCTTAGTTTCCTCCAGGGGGCTGGTTTGCCTAACTTCCCTATGCCTTAGGGTACTTCAGTGATGGTTAAAATCAATTAATACATGTAAGTGCTTAGAGTAGAAACTGGCAGGTGGCCAATACTTCATGTTAGCTATAGTATTGCATTAATATTATTATTTGGAAGAGTGACAATAAAAGGAGTCAAGTGCAACTATCTGGACCCCAGACTCCTTGCTGGGTTTTTCTCCTGAGGAATTTGTCATGTAGGAATGACTCAAAATGACGGAGTCCTGAACTCCACTGTCAATTCCTGCTGCCCCAAACTGCAGCCCTGTATGGGTAAGGAAGGCACAGAGCTGCTTTCAGCTTTGGGGCAGGTCTGACCACCATGTCAGGGAGCTGGAAGTCATCAGTGTCACAAACGGATGCCAGCAGCAACAGCAGCAGAACGTGTGCCCCTCCCCCCACTGAGGGGCACCTGCTAACTGGTCTATTTGAGCCGTGCTTAGTTTGCAAGAAGTTGCTGCAAAAGAAAAGCCTGGTTGAAGCCAGAGGCGTTGGGTAGATTTGGAGATTGGAAGGCCATTGGCACAGAGGGACCACTGAAGGGCTGAGGACAAGGGGCAGAGGGGAGGACGGCAGGGCTGAGGGTGGAATCAGGCTCTGCCCACTGCCACGGGGCTGCTTCAGGAAGAGGCTGAGAACAAACAGTGAGGGAGGCCGGCCAAGATGCACAGGAAGGCATTCGCAGTTGACCCTCGCAGCGTTTGAGGGGCTCAACCATCCTGCGGCTGCAATTCTTACTCAAGAAAAATGGGGTGAGTTAAATGGCAAACAATCCCTTACACATTGCCTATCTGATAAACATCATCTGAGCAGTCAATAGCTGCTCAGGACTGGGGGTGGCTGGGGCCACGCCCGGGTGTCCCCTACCATCCCACTCTCTGGGTTGGCACTCCAGAGCAGGTCACCCTTCAGTCCCAACTCTGTGCCCACCAAAATGCACCCATCCCGTGTGCCATCTCCCATGATGACCCTGTTGGTGTGCCCCATTAGGGTGACAAACAACATCGTACTAAGGGGCTGCTGGCAAAGGGTTCAGAATGGCTTCCTATTGCCCCTCCTGAATGACACCTAATAAACGTGATGCCTTTTGTTCATACTGACTCTTGCAGCATGACAGTCTCTTTGGCTCATCCTGCAGCCCCGACTGTGGGTGTCAGTACCGATCAGCCTGTATCGGAGGTGAGGAAATTCAGGCTCAGAGCGGGTAAGTCATTTAGCGAGGTAGGGCAGGAAGTTGTGGGGTCAGGATTCGTGTTCAGAACGTTTCTCCCAACTCGTAGGCCTTTTTCCTTCCACTGTGTCCTGTAGTGGGGTTCCTGGGGCAAAGAGGGAGGGGAATTTGGGAAGAGCAGAGACATCTTCTCGTGCCTTTCCACCAATCGGCAACAGTTGAAGGTCTATTCTGTTCCTTCTCAGGGTCCACCTGTCATTCCTGTGAGGAGGCCACACGTCGGCCAAATCTCCACCCACGGGTCAGAGTCAGGGGCCCTGGGCCACGGGAGACACAGCAGTGTGGGCACGACTCTAGCGTGGGAGTGGGGAAGGCGCCGCCCCAGGCTTCTGCAAGGAGACTGTAGGTGGGTGTGGTTAAATTCCTGTGCAAGCACAGGTCACATATTTCCCACACTCCGTGTACTGGCCGCAGAGGGCCCTGATTCACTTCTCCTTCCTTTAGCAAACCCCACACCCCGTGAGAAACCCCACACCCGGCGGGCTGCGGCCCCACTGCTCACCTCCTCCGCACTGCACACTGCACCCCTCCCAGCCGCTGTGCGTCCAGAGGAACAGAGAGTCCTGCGGTTTTTCAGGCTCACTTTGGTTTTCGGCAGTGTAGTTCACAGGAACGGTGTATTCGTAGTGAATTCCGTAATTTTGGTCGTGAAATAACAACACCTGAATCGACAGCAAAACAAAAGGCCATCTTAAAAAGGAACGAAAGCCCACAGGATTGTGGGATGTGCAAACCAAGCCACGCTGTGGCTGTTTCTCTACTAGAGGTAACCAGCTCTTTTCGGGGGTTCAGAACAGGTTCAATCTTGGGGTACTCTTTATCTTAGGCTTGGATTCCTCAGGTACGCAACTTGGGGGTTGGGCAAATGCAAACCATCAGTTTCTTCTGTTCTCAAGAAAGAACCAGTGAGACGAAGAGTTTGGGATAAGCACCTTTGTGGGCTCTAAATGCACTTTTCACGGAGAGCTGCTCCAAGCAGAGAAAAGTCCACGTTCCCACATCCTCGCCACGAAGCTGCCCTTGCAGACAAGGAAGACACAGACACACTGCTTTTACCTAGAAAGGCACCTCAGCAAGTAGGGTTACTCCACATCTTTGGAAATGAACAGGGCCCTGCACTCCCATCACCAATCATTGCTCTGCGTCAGTTGGTCCAGAGAGCTGGGGTAAGGCAGGCTCACAGGCAGATAGAGCCCACTGCGGGGGACTCTGGGGGCATCTGTTGGGGAGTCCAAGGATGCCAGAGCCCTCCCACTGCCATGGGAACTGGGATGATGACTGTGCTCATTGGTGGCAGAGGCCTGGCTCATGGCTTAAAGCTGGGAGTGGGGTGGAGATGGGGGGGTGCTCTATGACATTTTGTAGGGAGCCATCATGCAGCTTGAGGACCCCTGGGTCTGAAATCCTAGTGAGTGTGCAGAATGGATTGCTCTGCATGTGACTTTGTTTGGGAGTGCATGTGACAAGTTACAAATGGCCAGCATGCACGCTATCAGATTTATTTCTCTAGACATAATGGTGCAAAACAAGCCCTCTTGTAGGACCTTAAGATGGCCTGTCCGCAGATAATGTGTCTTCAGGCTAAGTTTGGAACCAGTGAACACTCCTGGGTCTACAAGTTCACTTCCAGCCCAAGAGGCCTGGGAGAACAGGCTGGCAGGTGCTAAGGGCAGAATGTGCATGGCCCGCCTGACTTGAGCCGGGGCAGTCCATCTCAAAGTGTGGATGGGGGTGGGATGCTAAGAGCAGACTTAACTGCATAAACAGCCACTTCTCCACCAAATAGACTTGTAGTAACGCATTTGGAAAAATGCCTCCAGTTTGAAAAAAAAAAAACAAAAAAACAAAAAAACAAAACTAGTCTTAAGAGATCTTTATTATCTCAGTATGGGAATAAGACTGGTGAATTGAGAATCCATATGAAACCAATTTCATGCAATTTTGTAGCCACATATAATTTGTGTGTGCGTGTGTGTAATTGGTTTCAAATGCAGGTCCCCATGACTCTCAGATGCTCTTTACTCTGCAAGCAATGTATGCACCCCAATTTGGGGACAATGGCTTTCTCTATCGAGGCAAAGGAGTACCTCTCACTTCTAGGTTTAAAAACTCGAAGTGACGATATTTCAAGAGAGAAAAGTGATTACTATTAAACAAAGGCTGAACCTTCAGCTATGGCAGCGGTTGCTTTCACTGAGTTTTGTTTTTCATGGTCTGAATGAATCCGGGCTGTGTGCTTGCTTTAATGGGCTAATGACTTGCTCAGTTTACAAAAGCTTTTGGTAAAAGAAAACATACTCATCTTGGTGTTCGCTAGAGAAAGCAAATTCACACGCTACCAGGTGATGTTTCTGTACAGGTTTCATCTAATCTTTTGCCTCCTCTCTTAGCCCCTCTGAATAACTGCTTTTAACTCAGTAGGAGGATTTGTTCTAACTTTGAGTAGGCAACAATCTTACCCCAGAGAATGACTTGGGTACAAGTTCTTGGGTCCTAGAAACTTACCTGCAGGAATACATTTGCAGTGGCTTTAGTGGGCTGAGTGTTGCATATGCAGATTTCCCTAAGTTTTAGGTCACACATGGAAACTGCCTCATTTTTGTCTCACTAGAAAGTATCATGAGGTTAGTGCCATCATAGTGTGACACCCAACCTGGGTGCTGGTTCTCACAGGCAGAGCTGGTGTCCTCAGGAGGGTTCCTGGGCAGTAGCCAGAAAATCTTTTGGGTGTCACCTGACCTTGAACAGCTGCAGGTTGCCAGAGATCACAAATTAATGGGGAAAAAGAACTTCCCAGTAGAGACTCCAGCAGGCAGTAAGGAAAAAGTGTACTTTGATTACAGGTGTACAAGCTGCCAAAAATCCTGTTCTTTGAAAGGAGACATGAAATCAATAATTATCAATAATTATGAGCTATCTGAAGTTAGCCATAAGAACTCCTGAACCCTGAAAAGGAAACAGTGGCATTCCTTTCCCTGGAGATCTTTGATATGTTTCAAAGGACGCAGAGCCAGATGTTTAAGCAGCTCACGTGGAGGCCTCCCTGAGACAACAGATAAGAAAACGGCGCCCTGGCGTGGCCCAATGGCACAGGTTTCTCGAGACCACCTGGGGAGTAAATATACCCACAAAATCTGATTCTCCTTCCCAATTTCCAAACACGCGTTGCAAGCTGAGTCTGAGAAATCCGAGGGAGGCTGGTTTGGACATGGAGTCGACAGTTCACTTTCCAAAAGGCAGTTTCCAATGTGGATATACAAACTTGGGGCAGATCTATGCATCCCACCATCTGATATAAAAACAGACTTTGCTAATGAGGCCAAGTCTCCCTGGCTGCCACCCACCACATGCCTAAGCATTTCCTTCTTGGAGGTAGCTCCTTTTGAAAAAGTTAGGAGCTCTGCCAGAGAAGATCCAGGGGGAAGCTTCGAGAGAGAACTCTGAGGCCTGCAGTGGACACACTGGGAAGGAAAGGGGAGAGGACTGAGCAGCAGGTGGCCTCATAAACCCCTGGGAGCCGGATGCAAACCCTGTCCCCCAGGTCCCAGGAAGAATTAACCTGGCAGACCTCTTGGAGCCATGCCCCTCCCCCAGACAAGTTCCAAAGCCCAGCAAGTTACCATCAAATGCAGTGGTAGTTTGGTTGGTCCCTTGGCAGAAATCTTCTCCCATAGGCCCCTTCTCACATAGCGGACAGTTGTGCCTGCAATCTGGAACTCTCCAGGGAGCTCTATCTTCCAGTCACTGTTGATGGATCCCTTACCGGAGTCTTTGAGAGCTTGAAAGAGAATGGAACACTGCAAAATCAGGGGGGATCCAGCCTGTCTTTACAGGGAATCTAGGTGTCTTGAGCGGGGCAGAGGTCTCTCTGTCCATGGGGGCAGGAGGGAGGCCTGCAGTGAGGGACAGGAGCTTTCTGCATGCTGAGAACAGACGTCGGGCTCACAGGATCTCCCGGGGAGAGCTGTCAGAATTGACGGGGCTGTGTGTCTCGAAACCAACTTAAATAGTGAGGGTGGGGGGAAGAGGCACAGGGTGGAGACCACCATAGCCAGATCACGTTTCACCAAACTTACCCAGTAGATGGTTTTCTGTCTGATGAATTAATTCTATGTTAATGTGTCCTAGGCTACAGAACAAGTTTTGCGGCTTTAGCAAAACTAAGCAATTCACTTTGCTGTTACCTACCCGGGACTTTGGAAGGAGGGCAGCCTAACTCCAGCATCTCTGAGGGATTTGATACCCCTGCATTAGAAAAGTGGATGTTCCTTCAAGAAACAATGGTTATTCTATGAAATATTTAAGTTTGGAAACCACGGCTGCCCACAGATGTGGCGGGTTCTGCTCAGCAGCTGCAGAGGGCGGGGCGGGGTCACTGTCGCACGTGGCTCTGTGGGCTTCAGGTTCACACATGCACCTGCTCTCAGCTCTACGAGGTACGAAATGGGTTGGAAGAGACTGAGAATCAACATGTTGCTGATCGGCCATAAGCAAAAATTTGGTTTTCTGCACAAGCCATCTATTTATTCTTGTCTGAGGTACCCACCAGGGACTTTCCTGTGTCTTCTCACTGAGGTTTGAAGTCCCTGTTGTCTCACAGCCACTGATCATCACCCTCTGCCAGCAACTGACTGTGACATTTGCTGTCCTGGGCCCCGAACTTGTCCCTGTTTTATGGCTGTTGTGAGACTTGGCATCCGTCTCTTTCTCATCAAGCAATGGTACCCAGGGTTTCCCTCGGGAATCTGTTTTTCCTCCAGTCACGTGGGGCTGAGGCCTAACTCCACCGCGGCTTCGGTCACAGGCCCATAGCCCAACCCTGGACAGTGGGACTTTCGTTCGCCTTGGGAAGAGGCAGCTTTCTTCCCACGGGGTTACCCAGAAACTTGACAGAAGCCTGGATCTTCCAGGACTGGGGAAGAGAACTCCAGAGAGCACAGACAGCAGTGGCAGGACAGACAGAGACTGTTTTTCTGGTGACATCACTTTAAGCCCCTGGATCCAGCAGTGCCTGAAGCTGCTTCTCAGCAATGGAGAACTGGGTTTGGCTTTTGCATGTGCCTTTTGGAGGTTGGTTTTTAAAAAAAAATACTAATGATGATGAGGACAGAGCAGGTAGGGAAAGAAAACGAGTATTATGGATTTCCAGAGATCACTGCCACGCCTTCGACTCTCTCCCAGCTTCTGCTCCTGTCCTGCCATGGAGACTCCTGATGAGGTGGCTCTTTGCCAACCAGCCTTGTTTATGCATTTCCTGGGCCCTTTTTATAAGATGCTTTAAAGTGCCTTATTGAATTATAAACTGAAAACTACCCCGCCTCCATGCCCAAAGTCAAACGTCTGAGAGGTCAGGAGTGGCAAGGCTGGGGGAAGGGCAGGCGGGCACACCTGGGGGCGATTATGAACCCATCCCTGGAAGCACTGCCGGGGGCGTGTGGGGTAAACCCAGCCTCTGCCACCAGAAGACAGGCTGTGGGCGAGATGCAGCAGCAGCAGCAGCAGCAGCAGCAGCTACACGGGTGGAGGCAGAGCCAGCTGGGGCTTGGGGTGTGCTACCTCTGATCACCAGAGCAGGGTCTCATTTGTCCTTGGCAGGTGGGTGGAAGAGACGCTTCAGGAGTGGGTTGCAGGGAGAACGCGGAAGAGTTGCTGGTTATGGTCAAGGAATTGGGGAATGGGAAGTGAGAGAGACAGACGTGGCTAACCGACTAGCCCAGACAAGGTCAGCTACTGAGTGGGGGGATGAGCACACCAAACAATGGAGCACAGGTGACAACCAGCTCCCTGGGGAAAATAGCCTAGTTTTTTATAGCACATGCTGTATCCAAGGTATAAATATCCTCAACATGGTAGATTTCAAGTTATCCACCTGGCGTGCAATTGACTCTCACGAACCACGCAGAGCTTCTGGGCGCCCAAGTTCTGAAGACACCTGTCCTTGTGTTGGAGGCGCTGGTCTGGGGCTGCTGACTTGGGGAAATCTCACACTGTCACCAATTTGTTGAGAGGGGAGCGGGTGTGATTTGACTCTCATGGCCCCAGAAAGAATAAACTTTTGTGTGCCCAAGCCCTGCTTGTGGCCATCCCCACAGCAGCTGCGAGCTCCCAAGCTCTGCAGATGCAGCTGTCCAGCTGCTGTTTGGTGCCCGCCTCGGAGCCAGCACCCTTCCCTCTGGACAGCTAGCTCCAGGTGACACTCACTCATGCACTCCCCAGGGAGAGGAAAACAGAGGCAGAGTTAAAAGCAGGAAGTCACTGGTATCCAGGAGGCATGCAGATCGCTTTCCAACCTGTTGACTTTGGTATAACTTAGTCAGCAAGTTTCAACATCTGCAGGTTGCTGTGGTCCATGCTGAAAAATTGGAACTTCCCCTCTAAAATAAGAATTTAGCACCTGACATTCCTTCAAGAGAGATTTCCACTTCAGAGATTCTGCTGGAACACCCAGATCATTTTAACAGCAAATAAACAGGTTCGACGTGGAGTCCAACAAGGCAAGGACTTCATGGGGCCATGGCGGCTCCAGAGAGAGAATGCAAGTTACCTCTGGTCTCCTTCTGCAGTAGCTTGGGCTGCTCTCCTGGCTTCTGTGAGCTGTGCAGGGCAGGGTTTGCGAGGCCCTGGGCACAACATATCCTTTTTCCTGAAGAAGGCCCTCCAAATTAAATACATTTCCAGCTCTACGAGTTCCTGGCCCTCTCAACCCTTGGGCATCAATGGATATATCCAAGCTCCCTTTGTCTGTAAGCATTTCAAGATCAATTAGTTTGCATTTGAAATCAGGATTTTTGGACCCAGGAAAGACTCAACAGGGCCTATTAAGATGATTACAAATGCTGTGATTTCATGGACGAATAATGAAGAACAGGGAATTCCTTGAGCAACCTGATTTTATTAGTGATATTTGGAGTGATATCTGATTTGCTGGAGAAGGAGATTTTCACTTGCTGGTTCTGCCTGGGCCAGAGGTTAGATTTTTAAAACCACTTTCCAAGATATAACAGTGCTTGCTTTTGTGGATTTTGCTCAGAAGCCTCTCAATAGTTAGACTTTCATGGGGCACCACATGGTGGGTACACATTTTCCTTAGCTACTATGGCAGAACAAACCCCCTCGGTGGTCTGGAACATAGGGTCATGTGCTGAGGTCCATTTCCATACTGGCCCTTCTTCCTCTCTGTGGACATTTACCCATCATCCCTGGACTTCTAGGCACAGTGAGGGGAACACCATGAGCCATTCCAGGGGATGAGGAGGGGGCGTTCCCAATGGGAGGCCACGGCTCCTCTTTGGAACTGGTTGGGGGCAGACTTGAGCTGTGACCCAGTCTGCATGTCCCGCTCTGGCACGGAGCTGTGCAGAAGCCGGGGTAGGGTTCTTTTCGTCTCTCTCCCTCTTGGATGCAACTGGAAGACCTGACCCACAGTCAACCTACTTCTAATCCTGGCACCAGGTCAGCTCCTTTTATTTCCACTCGGAGTTCTGCCAGCTCTGTTCTTAGCTATGGATACAAACTGCAGAGGCATTTCCTGTTCCAGGTGGTTTCGAGCAGAAAGCCAGCCAGCGTGGGCTGAAGGTAGGTGGGGTGAAATTCTTCAGGAACTGCTCCCAGCAAATGTGAGAGTTATTCAAAGTTACCCTGGGTCGACGTCCAAAGCACCCAGCCCCGAGTGGAAACGAGGCTTGCTGGAACCAATTTGAGAAACATGACAAGCATGGACCACCTTCGGCTCGCCTGTGTCCAGGAGCCAGGCCCCAGAATACTGGGATTATGATTTTCAGAAAAGATAAAGGGACGAAGCTGGCTCCCACCTCCCGTGGTGACCCAGTGCTTTGGGGGGGCTGAGAAGTTGCCCCGAGACAGGAAACCCGTCTCCTAGGGATGGAGGTTTGCTTCTCTGATGTGCGCATCATGAAGCAGTCACCATGGGCAGGTTTCACATGCGTTCTGCAATGAAAAACCTTCTCGTCAGTCATCTCTGGCTGTGACTGGACACCTCAGGGCAATGCCAGGGGCTCCGTGAACTGCAGCAGACTCAGGGGAAGAGAGGAACTTGAACGAGCTGCCACACCCTTGCAGCTCCGGTTTGCTGCTCCGTGGAGGAAGCACAGCGATACTCTGCAGCATCTCTGGAGGGATCAGCGATCGGGTCTCTAACGCACAGCAGGGCTCAGGGACCGAGAGCCCTGACGTGGACGTCCTCATTCTTGTCTGTGTATGTGGTCCTGAGGCTGCAGGAGCGGACAGGGACCATCATGAGAGCTGACCCCCTGGGCAGCGTCCACTAGTTAGTACTTCTTTGCCCTAAAGTGAGTCCCAGGGAAAAGTTTCTTGCCACCAGAGGAATTAGAAGCTGAGAAGTGATCCAGAGGATTCTGACCTCCTTCTGTCATTCTTACATTGCCACAGAAAAGTAAAGAAAACATTCCTGTTTTTGCCGGACACCTGGGGGCCTGGGGTCAGGTGCAGGAACAGAGCTGGGACAGCTCAGAAGCCAGGATCAGAGGCCAAAAGACTTATTTGCAGGAGCAGCTGCTGGTGCTTGATGGAGGAACCAGGAAGCCGACCTCAGGGTTGAGCCAGCTCTTAGAGTACCCAGATTATGGATTTTGAACAACACGAGGGTGAAAGGGGACGCCAGCCTTGCAATGAGGTCCAGTGTGCCTGGGGAGTGGCAATGTCATTCCCAGGTAGTAGTGGTGCATTCCCCCATGCACCAGCTGGGAAGGGTAATTTCTGGGGGTGGCACTAGGTGACTGCGTTTCCACCGCAAATGCTGGTGAGGTTGACCTAATTTCCTCGGGTGGACAGAAGGAGAGGGGGTGGGGTCTTTGGGAATTTAGTAAAAAAGCCATTACTCCCAAGAAGCTGCCAAAAGCAGCAGGAGGCCCTGTTTCAGCAAGCATGCACGAGCATTGTTCTATTTGTGGAGGGACAGCTGGGACAGCTGGGGAGGGAGTGACAGGCAGGGCTGGGGCAGAGTCCACACAGGGGAGGTGGGGAGAACCACAGGGCTGATGCAGATCCACGTGGATCCACCTTGAGGACAGCAGAAGCAGCGGTAGCCATCATAGCTTCAAGGATGCCGCATGGACGGCAGGTGACAAAGCCACGGAGGAGGTGGCAGGACTGCCTGGGGCACAGGGGACCCACGGGGCATGGTGCCAGTGAGTCCTGGTGTGGGCACTTGGACACAGGCGCACCTGCCTCTATTGCTTCCCCTAAGGCAGGTGTGCAGGGAGCGGCTTCGTGCCTTTAAGTGTTTCCTAACTCTTGAATAACAGGATGGCAGTCTTCACTGTAAACTTGCCTATTACAGGTTTGTTTCTTGTCTCATTGGACTGTGAGTGTCTAAAGTAAAGACCATTTCAAAAAAAGACTTGGATACTTCTGTGCAGTCTACAAAGGCAGGAACGTAGGCAAAGAGGTCTTCTTTTCCTATCAGTGATGAAAATTGAAATAAAAGGGTTTGAGCAGCACAGGCCCATCGGGCAGCTTGCAGGAAGTTTGAGACCAGAGAAATCATGTCTTATTTTTTCTTTTCTTTTTCTAGCTCCATGAGCACCTTGCAACACACGCTGAAAGACTATAATATGAAGGGCGCTCAGGAGCGGGATACCTGAGTGGAAGATCAGCCACCTCTAGTTTGAAACTGAACCCAAGACAGGAACATGGGATTAGGACTGGCAGAAGGACAAGGGGTCGTAGCATATCCCATGCCAGTGAACTAGGAGCAGAGGCAGCCTCTGGGCACCCTGCTGTCTGTGTGGCAGTGTTCGCTTCCTGTGATCTGCAGAGAGAACACTTACGTGTTCAGCTCAGAACTCCAATCACCCTGATGGTCAAGTACTGGGCTGACCTTTGCTGGGCTTGATGGGGAGGCTGGGAATTGAGCCAGGACACACTTACAGGGTCTTCTCTGGCTTAGGAGGAGTTTAATTGAATGACTCTTCTTAGGCTTTACCCATCATGCTGTGGAGGGCAGTGAAGACCAGTCAGGAATAGAACCCAAGTCTATAGAAACATGCAGATATCTGGAAGTCAATGGAGTTGGCCACTAGGAATCTGGGGTACATAGACCTTAGTGAAAATCAGCGTTGTTCTGGGTTCCCATAAGATTTAGTGCTGCTGCTCTTTTTCCAGCTATGGAGACACTCCCAGAGCCACTGAGAACCTACAGGTCTTTCTGCGAGTGGCCTGGTGGGCCTGTGCTACTCAAGTTAAAGCTGCTCTGGGCTCTCCTGGGGTTACTGCAGGGGACTAACTCTACCAGTTCCTCATTACTTCCTTCACTTTTCTGTCCCCAAGCTGGTGGGCCCACCCATCCCTGCCCCCAATCCATCTTGGGTGTGGCTGCTTATTAGTCAAATTTGATAATGCTGCTTGGTTCACTCTGGGTACTCACGTCATTACAATTAAAATACAGGTGTAAAATGGGTTAGGACCCAGGAGAACGATGCTGAACTGAATATATCAGACTAATCATCAAAATCAATTCTCAACGCATAAATTGTGAGTTAAATCATTTTTGTTTTACCCAGAAAACTGTGAGCAGGTTTATCCTCCACCACACGGATCCTCCGAGCTCCAGCAGGAATGATAGCAGCTTCGATGTAACCTGCAGCCACAAACGACAAACAGGTGAACCACGCCTCCACCCTGGATCAGAGGCCCATCCAGCAGCGTCCCCATCAAAATCTACCTACCATGCTCCCAAGGGGTGGTTTCAGAGACCGTGGGTGGGTACAGGCCTGAGAAATTAAGAGTCAACTAAGGGGGAATGCTCTTCTGTGGCCAGAACGTCCCAGCTGCCCAATTTCCAGAGAGTACTATTTGCGTGTGGTGCGGGGTGAACTGTGTCCCCCTCCCCCAAATTCATATGTTGAAGTCCTGACCACCAGTACCTCACAATGTGAGCTTATTTGGAAATGGGACCACTGTGGATATATTTAGTTAAGATGAGGTCACACTGGAATAGGGGAGGCCTCATCCAATATGGCTAATGTCATTATAAAAAGGGGCAACCTGGACCCAGACATGCACACAGGGATAACGTCATGACAACATGAAGGCAAAAATGGGATGATGCTTCTTCAAGCTAAGGAAGGTCAGAGGTTGCCAGCAAACCACCAGGAGTTAGGCAAGAGGCCTGGAACAGGTCCTTCCTTACAGACCTCAGAAGGAACCAACCTTGACAAAACCTTGATCTCAGACTTCTCACCCCCAGAACTGAAAGACAGAACATTTCTGTTGTTTCTGCTACCCAGTTTGTGGCGCTTTGTTACAGCAACCATAGCAAACTAACACAGCCTGGCATTCCACGTGAACGGCATCTCCCTGGAGCATGAATGAAAAGTGCCCTGGGCTCATGCATCTGCTGAAGCTTCTTTTGCTCTTTGTTGTAGTTTGACCTTTCTTTGAATACCCCTGGCATATTCCTGACAGCAGAGACTAAGCAGCTTACCCCCTGAAAAACTACAGTATTGCCTTAAAATGCTGTGTGCTATTTCCTGTCGTCCATGCTTCCTACTGTGTTTTCTGTGGTGTTGATTTTCTTTGTCTGCTTCCATGTGGACTTGATTTCTATGATGGATTCACTGACAACTTCTGTGTCTTTCCTCAGCTCTGCTAAGTCATGCTTCATCTCCCTTTGTTGTTTCATTGTGTCTTTGTATCTTCCTCGAGGTCTTGTGTCTTAGCTATGCCTTCTTGTTTTATTGAGGCTATTGTTTATCAGTTTTTGCAATTCATGGCAGCACCACTGGGTCATAATTTTCACCTTTTCCTTGGTAACATTTTGCTGGTGAGGTTTTCTTTTTTTTAAGTAATTTGTTTTTCTTTTCCCTTCCATCCTTTTCCTATTGCAATATACTTGCACGGATTCTGTGGTTTTCTTTCAAAATTTATTTCATGCTTTGAAGTGAGACAAGTTCTAATTGTTCCAGCTGTCTGCAGTAGGTTTTTGTGGTGGGGAGAGACAGGACAGTGTTGCAGGTCATCAGAACTTTCCCCTGCTTTACAGTGAAATTTACTAGGGTGCAGGTTTACGTATGTTAGTGAGTTCATTTTCATTTTCCCTCTTTAAAACAATTTACACATTTTATATTTACACAAATACACATGAGTGTATTTTCTCATTGTAAGAATTTTACTAATACAGATAAATTTCAAATCTCCTTAATCCCACTCCTCTCCTCTGTTGAAAATACCACTATCAGTTTTATATACAGTATTCATATATCTTACTATTTATAGACATATCTAACAAATAAAAATAGCATGGTATTTTCATATCTGTCTATATTTTACATAAATGTTAGGAGTAACATTATAGCTCCATATTATATTATCCTACATTTGTTATGTTAAAAACCATATGTTTTCGAGGTAATGCATGTTATTATATATAGTTCTACTTCTTCTTCTTCTTATTCTTTTTTGGCTTACATTGCTATGTATTTTATATAACTACTTCCCTGTTGATGGACATTTGGGTTGTTTCAAAATTTTCACTGTTAAAAACAATGCTATACCACATATGAATATGCACACAAAACTCCTCAACAAAACACTAGCAAACTTAATCTGAAACATATAAAAAGGATTATACACTATAATGAAATATGATTTATCCTAGGAATGCAAGGTTAGTTTGACATAAGGAAAATTAATCAATGTAATACTCCATATTAATAAGAGACAAAAACCACAAGATCATCTCAGTAGGATTATCATTAGTCATTAGGGAAATGCAAATCAAAACCATAAGCACATAACACTTCACATCCATTAGGATGGCTATAACAAAAAAAGAGAGAATAAGAAGTGTTGGAGAGAATGTGGAGAAACTGGCACCCTCATTCATTGCCAGTAAATATGTAAAATGGGGCAGCCACTTTAGAAAAGATCTTGGCAGCTCCTCAAAAGGTTTAAACATAGAATTACCATATGACCCACTAATTCCACTCCTAGGTATATACACACAAGAGAAATGAAAACATGTCTACACAATAACTTGCACACAAAAAATTTTATTAGCATTATTCATAATATCCAAAAAGTAGAAACAACCCAAATGTCCATCAACTGATGAATGTATTAAAACAATGGGGTATATCTGAACAATGGAATAAAAAGAATGAAACATTGATGTTTGCTACAACATGGATAAATATTGAAAATATTATGTTAAGTGAAGGAAGCCGGTCACAAGGGACCACATATTGCACGATTCCATTTATACGAAATGTTCAGATAGGCAACTCCATAGACAGAAATTACATTAGTGGTTGCCTACAGCTGGGGTAAGAGGGAGATGAGGAATGACTGCTAATGAGTACAGGATTTCTTTTGGGGATCGTTGTGGTGATGGCTGCACAAGGTGGTACACATACTAAAGCTCACTGAACTGCACACTTTATGCAGGAGAATTTTATAACATGTGAATTATATATTTATAAACATGCTAAAAAAAGAAGCAATACTGCAATGAACAGTTTTTTACATGTCTTCCTGTACATACATACAATGTGTTACCAAGTTAGCTACAGTAGAAGCACTGAGTCAAACACATGTGCAGTTTAAATGTCAAAAGTACTGCTAATTTGCCCTCCATAACAGCTTGACTAATACATGAACCAAAACTATATGAGAGTACATGTTTATTCACAGACTTCTAAATACTTGAAATGACCAATCCTCTTAATACTTGCTAATCCAATAGGTGAAAAAATGTTGTCATAGATTTAATTTGCATTTCCCTGATTACCAATGAGCTTGAGCATCATCATATACTTATTGGCCATTTGTGTGTCTTCTTCAGCTAATGGCCTTTTTCATAACCTTTGCCCAATTTTCTACTGTCTTTTGTTTTAATTGATACGCAGGAGTTTAAAAAATATATTTTAATACGTATTAATATAATTTGATTGTTTTTGGACTCAAACTCCTTATTAGACATGTTGCAAACATATTTCCCCAGTCTGTCATTTGTTATTTCTTTGTTTAGGGTGCCTTTTATCACATGGTTTTAATTTGATAGTCATATTTTAAATTTTTGAGAT